AAAAAGAGAAACAAATGTAATAATCTGAACAATAAAGATTTAATTAAAAAATATATATATATTTAAAAAAAAATAAGTCTGTCCATGATTGTCCTTTTCCATTCCCCATCACATCACTGTCTCCTACTCTCACAGAAAATGTTGTTGTCATGGTTGTTGCCTATTGCAGAAGACACTTACAAAATCACAAACTCAAACCTTGGTCAAAATTAGCCCTATTTAATGTAAATATATATTTCAACACATATATATATATTTCTACATTGTGAGACTTGGAACAGAGGAACCCAACTATGCTGTGACCCACAAAAACTGTGACATAGCCCTGGTTGGGTGGCTCAGTTAGTTGGAGCATTGTCCTCTACACTAACAGGTTCGATTCCTAGTCAGGGCACGTACCTAGGCTGCAGGTTCAATCCCCAGCTGCGGAGGCAACCGATTGATGTTTTGCTCTCACATCAATGCTTCTCTCCCCCTCACACCCCACCCCGCTCTTTCCTTCTTTAAAAAAAAATCAATAAAAACATATCCTCGGTGAGGATTGAAAAAAGCACACAAAACTATGAGATAATAAACTGGTAGTGTTTTAAGCCATAAAGTTTATGGTAATTTGATACAGAGCAACAGAAAACTAATATAATATCTGAGGTAATTTAGACAACCAAAACAAAAAACAAAGTTATGGACTCCAGGGATGGGAGCACTGGACTGAGCAAGAAAAGAAAAGTAATGATTATGTAGGTAGGTTTTCACCACGTCAGCAAATCCTTTGACATGACTCTCATGTGTACAATGTCCCCTCCCCACAGCACAGCCAGCCTTGGTGACTTGCGCATAGCCTATAGAATGCAGCAGAAATGATGCTGAGTGACTTCCTCAGTTAACTCAGTTTCTGTCCAACTCCCTGCAACACTCACTCTAGAACCCACTTTACTAGAGAGTTTGGTACTAGGTTTTCAGGGGAAGCACAGCTTTTCCACGTTCCATTTACTAATTACAGATTTTCCCTTGTAAATATATCATCCTTAGGGACTTCAAGGAGAGAAGTGGCTGCAGAGAAGCAGAACTTGGCCATCCCTAAATTCCCCAGCCATCACACCACCAAACTCCACCATTAACCTCTGACGTGAACCAGCCAAAATAGCAGCCTCAATAGCAGTCACTGTAATCCAGAGTAAGGTGGAATATTTAAGCATTTAAAGATAGGGAGGATTGTCAATTACTGATAGAAAACATCTCTCTTGTTTCTTTATATGCCCTGGAAAGTTCTTCCAAATTGATTTGCTGTAAAACTCTAAGCAATCTACCTAACATTTCAGTCTCCACATTTCTAATCCAAACAAACTTCAGAAATAATATTTGAGTGAGTGAAGAAATTTCTTGAAAATATTTGAACAAAAAGTCTTCTCATGTCCAAAATAAACGTTCATTTTATTAATTAAATCAACAAATACTAATGGATACAGTGATATGAGGTAAAAATATCTGACACAGTCCCTGGCCTCAAGGAGGTTATAATAAACATAGTAAGTATTTAACTCAATATAAGGCAGCATATAATAAGCTCTACAAGAAAGGTACAATAGAAGAAACTGCAATGCAGCTGGAGATCCAAGAAAGAGCTCAGATTTGAATAACCTCTCCCAAACCCAAGCTTCTCAGTTCCCTTTTCCTTTATCTACTCCAATACCCTACACTTGAAATTATTCCATCCTTCACATCTTAAATGTTGGAACCCTCTTTCAGACTAAACTCTACCTCCCTATTGTGAGGAAATCCTTACCTCCTCCTCCCCCATGAGTCTCCATAGAGGGGAGATTCCCGGAGGAGGCAAGTAGTTAATCTGATTGGCTGATCACCCTACCCCACCTTCACTTGGGAGGAAAGAAGAATAAACAACATGTTGGCCTTAGGTCTCCAAACAATTTATCAGAATTTCTGTAATTTATCAGAATCTCTGGAACCTGTTCGGCCATTAAACTCTGTCCCTTAACATTTGTGTTTCATTCTCAAAATCTGAGAACTTGGAAGGGGCAGATGGATGAGTTATTAATCCCCCAAATATGCAACAATCCCTTTCTCTTTCTGTTCAAAATTCCCTAAAACCATCAACCGTGGATCAATTTAGCTGTTCTCTAGCCCCATCTTAAAGAAAATACTCTTCGGCCCTAACCGGTTTGGCTCAGTGGATAGAGCGTCGGCCTGCGGACTAAAGGGTCCCAGGTTCGATTCCGGTCAAGGGCATGTACCTTGGTTGCGGGCACATCCCCAGTAGGGGGTGTGCAGGAGGCAGCTGATCTGATGTTTCTCTCTCATCGATGTTTCTAACTCTCTATCCTTCTCCCTTCCTCTCTGTGAAAAAATCAATAAAATATATTTTAAAAAAGAAAAAAAAGAAAAAGAAAATACTCTTCGGCTTACTCAGCAATCATGTCCATCAGTTTTTCCCTCTCTCTCCTGAAGCTTCAACTTTTGATTCTGACAACTCTTTCCTCTTCATTCAGACAGGCCCAAAACCCATTTTAAAAACAAAGTAAAAGAACAACAAAACCAAAACTCTCTCTTCAAGCTTGACCATTCTTCTAGCTATCTTTGTTCTCTTTTAAAAGCCCAGTTTTTAGGAAATGTAACCTACCCTGGCTCCCTCTGCCTTTCCACGTTGCATTCTCGGGGCAGCCTGATGCAGGCCAGACTCTACAAAACTATTCGCATCAATGTGACCAAATGACCTCTGAGCTAACAAATTCAACAAGCAATTTTCATTTCTTCTTTGACTTGACCTCTCAACTGTATTTGATGTTTAGTAACTTCCGTCTTGAAACTCTCTTCCACTGGCTTTTTATAACATCACTGCCTCCTGATGCTCCTTCTAGACTTCAGAATGCTCTCTCTCAGTCTTTATTGGTTAAACCTTAAATTTTAACATTTTCCCAGGATTCTATTCTTGGCTTTCCTCTTCTCAAACTAAACTCTCCCTAGGGAGGGGGGAGGGGGGGGAAGGCCTATTTACACCATGCATTATCCCACATACCCATAAATCAATAAAACGAAATCTGAACTCATGTGCTTCCTCTCCCACCCCCAGCCCTACCAGTGCTTACCTGCTCGGTACCTGCTTACCTGTCCATCCTCCCTGCCCTGGCCTGCCTGGGGGATGGATGGACACACACTGCTGTCGGCAGTGGTGGCTCCCTAGAGCAGGGACTGGGAGTGTGAGCGAGGACAACTACATAACGAGAGCAATGCATCTTAGAGGAACTAAAAGGAACCCCAGATGAACTTCACTGAATTATACTGTATCTTAAAGGGAAGTGATATGTATGTATTTATTTATTTATCCATCCGTCCATCTCTGAAGCTCTTGTGCTTATTATTATTAGCACAGGAGCCTGCACATAGTACTCAATGCAGGGTACTCAATTCCTTTCTTTGAATCAAAAAAGTAGAAGAAGAATGGGATATCTGAGATAAGCTTTGAAGAACTGATGGAATTTCAACAAGTACAGATGGAGGAGGAATCATGTGAGTCAGAGGGAACAGGAAAAGCACAGGCTCAGACAGAAATGCTGGACTGGCGGGTGTATGAAGTCAAATACCACCACCAACACGGGAATACTGAGGCACGATTTTATAAGACTTTAAAATGAAGCCAGAGATGCAGCTTGGCAGGCGATGGCAAGCCAGTGACGTGTTTAAAACAATGGGATTTGCAATTGGAAAGGAAAAGAATTAAATGGACAGAGGACACCTCTTAAATAGCTACCAAGTGAATTTCCTAAGTGAGAAGAAATAAAGACCTGAACTACAGCAACTAGAGTAAAAGTAGAAGGGGAAAATATTTTTGAGATTGAAGGTGAAAACCAAAATTTTTGAATATTCAAGAACGATTACATTAGTTGAAGCATTAAATTGAAAGGAGGTGGAAAATTTAAATCAATAACATTACCATCATGAATGGTGTTGGGTGTTAGAGTATCAAGCTTATTGTGTTAGCAAAGAGCTCCAACAAGCATAGGTTGACATAAAATTGGCAATTGAAAAGGGCATTCTTTATATGTTAGGAAAGGTCATTTATAATTTCGGAATAGGGAGTTAGCAAAATATAATCATACCGTGAAACTGTTGTTAGCATTTTTTGTGCTTGCTTCAGCTACACTGGCATCTGAGAGGTCAACTTCATCAAATATCAGAGACTGTTAATGAAAAAGAACACAAACATATTAAATGAAAACCGAACTCAATGCTCCTCAATAATTTTTTACTATCAGGTCATGACCATGTGGCTATGTCAGGAATTAGGAATAGAAAATAAAGAAAAATTTAAGTCAGTGATACTTTGTGAGTAAAGTCACAAAGTACAACTAACACATAAATCCCAAACTGAAAAGGACCTCAAAGAACTCCAGGACACTGTTTTGATGCAAAATGCTCTGTGTTCTCTGGAAGCATAATTCATGGGGAATCTACTAAATGCAACACACACACACACACACACACACACACACACACACACACTCACACACCACTATCTTTAAACCTTGTAACAACTTTGCCAGGTAGGCAGAGGCTACATTGTTCCCAAATTTGCTAAGTGAGAAAGAAAAACAACTAGTCCTGCCTCAGATCATGGTGAGTTACTAAACTTTCTGAACCTTACATTCCTCATCTATAAACGTGTTCAAATGAGATGAGAATGTGCTCTGCAAATATAAGATGATGTTTCTTTTATACTCTTAAAAGTGGTCTTAAGAAAAAAGTGACAATGGTAAAAACGCCAGAGAAACGAAATCTTAAAAATGTACAATTTAGCCCTGGCCGGATGTCTCAATTGGCTGGAGCGTCATCCAGTACATCAAAAAAGGTTGGGGGTGCGATCTCTAGTCAGGGAGCATATGGGAGGCAACCAATCGATGTTTTTCTCTCACACCAATGTTATCCCCCCACCCTCCTCTTCTAAAATCAATAAAAACATATTTTCAGGTGAGAATTTTTTTAAATATACAATTTAGAAATTCAGAAATTCTAATAAATAAATGTACCCTTCCCACTTAGTCATCTGGTCATTGTTCACCCATCATTGTTCTTACAGCCAGGCAGTACAACAATGCTTCTCTAGAAGTGCAGAAAAGGGGGGGGGGGGTCCCTTCTCTGATAGCTTCCACCCGCCCCCCCACCCCAGATCTCCAGGGGATTATGCTTTAATCCAACCAATCTGACTACAAGACTTGTTCCCTGACTGAAAAGAATTTATAACCTAGCACAGGCGATAAAATTGACACAACTAATTTTAATGTAAGATAGACCATTACAGTGGAAGAGATGAGATACTGCGAAATGCTCTGGAAGATCACAGATGACTTCTCCAGCAAAGAACACTTACACTCTTTGTCTTGTGACTAATGAAATAAAAGCTATTTGAGGGGGGATTTTAGAAATAACAGGGAATTTTGTCAAGTGGAGACAGAGGGAAGGTCACTGGAGATGGGAGACCAAGGGCAAGGCTGAGACTGGCTGGTCAGTGCAGCCTACAGATACAGGTCAAGTCAGGATGGAGCCAGACCAGGAACAGGCCTACACATAACAACTTTTAAAACAAGACTGTTTTATCTGGTTATTATTTCTACAGCTGCATAAACTAAGATTTAGGTTTTGTTTGTTGATTTGTTTTTACTTCCTGGTGTATAATGCTACTAATTACATCAGGAACTTATGTTCTTTAATATGGAAATAACTAAATTGGCACAGTAATAAGAATCTTAATGTTTATTTTTTAAAGAATCTTAAAGTATCAGATCTAAATGGAAACAATCATTATAATTTTGTTCAAAACTACATCACTCTTATTTTATTCAATGGTTATATAAAAATTATTTAAAGTCTTATTTTTATTTCACTATGATTTTTATTTTTAAATAATTTAAAATGTTTTTTTTATTGATTTCAGAAAGGAAGGGAGAGAGAGATAGAAACATCAATGATGAGAGAAAATCATTGACCAGCTGCCTCCTGCACACCCCACACTGGGGACCGAGCCTACAACCCAGGCAAATGCCCTGACCAGGAACCAAACTGTGTCTTCCTGGGTCATAGGTTGATGATCAACCAGAGCCACACCAGCCAGGCTATGATTTTTATTTCTAACCTCTAGCATAATGAGTGATTATTTTGTGTGCCAGGCACTATGTAAGCACTTCATGTCTATTATGTCATTTAGCCGCCTCTCGCAATCACGTGCGTCCACAGCACTGCTCTGGAATATGCTGGAACTGGGATAGGAACTCTGATTCATCACTAGTATAGCAATGCTCTCACTCACGGTCAGGAAAATATTTATAATGTAAAAAAATAGCAAGAAAGGGAAGAAAATCCAAAATTCTGAGTTTATTCTATCTAATAAGGCTACATTTCATATTTTATTTAATTGGAAGGAAAAAAGGCTGGAAGAAAACGGAAGGAAGAAATGAAGGAGGAAGGAAGGGAGGGAGGGAGGAAGCAGGAAAGCAGGGAGGAAAGGAAACTACACTAGAACCTTCCTATTCCATTCTCCTTATGGTACATGCAATGAAACTAACTCAAATGGGCTCCCTTGGGATTTGGTCCAAGATAGGTCACATTTATATTGAATTCATGTAAGAGCAGAAAGGCTATAGTGAGCCCCAAGACAAAAACAGTTTAGAGAACCAAAATTTTAAATCCATCCACAACCTCAGGTGCTTGCAACTAGTAGTCTCTCAAATTACCTTTGAGTCCTTTGCATAATAAAGTGTACGGCCTCGAAGCTTGAAATATCGCTTTTTCCACCTTTGGAAAGAACTGGTTTGCTTCAACAGTTGTCCCTCTTTAATACTGGTCTGGGGAGAAGACAAAGCACAATGACATGATTAAAATGAAATCCAAAACCAAATAAAATTCACAATTAATGACACACTATCATTAATATTTTGAATATTGCTTCCCATGTCCCACAAATTTCATGAGAGAATATTTTCTTCTCCTTTTTGTTCAACCAAGGGAGCACATGTGAAAAGTCATAAAGAGCAACGGTAATGGGCCCAGTTCCCTGACCTCCAAGTAGTCACAAACAGCCTGAAAGGCACCAACACACAAACTAGCCCTCGCAATACAGGGGGATGCACACCATGACTTGCATTAGTAAGTATTTAATAAATGGTGCAAAGGGTAGAGACATCGTATAATGGAATGATTTTTAAAAGCATGGGTTTTGCATCCCTATGACTATTTTTAAAACGGAAAATTTGTACTTTTTTCACCTTTTTCACCCCTCCCTTCTGCCCCCCTCCCATCTGGCAGCAATCATGAATACAGTCAATAATCCTATCTAATAAAGAGGTAATATGCAAATTGACCGTCCCTCCAACACAAGATGGCCGCCCCATGTGGACACAAGATGGCCTGCAGAGGAGGGCAGTTAGGGGCAACCAGGCCTGCAGGGGAGGGCAGTTTGGGGGGGACCAGGTTGGCAGGGGGCAGTTGGAGACGACCAGGCTGGCAGGGGAGGGCAGTTAGGGGTGACCAGGCCAGCAGGGGAGGACAGTTGGGGGGGACCAGGCCTGCAGTGGAGGGCAGTTAGGGGCGACCGGGCTGGCAGGGGAGGGCAGTTGGGGGCGATCGGGACGGCAGGGGTGGGCAGTTGGGGACGATCGGGCCGGCAGGGGAGTAGTTAGGCGTCGATCAGGCTGGCTGGGAAGTGGTTAGGGGGTGATCAGGCTGGCAGGCAGAAGTGGTTAGGGGCAATCAGGCAGGCAGGTAGGCGAGCGGTTGGGAACCAGCAGTCCTGGATTGTGAGAGGGATGTCCGACTGCCCTGTGGGATCGGGCCTAAACGGGTAGTCGGACATCCCTCGAGGGGTCCCAGATTGGAGAGGGTGCAGGCTGGGCTGAGGGACACACCCCCTCAGTGCACAAATTTTGTACACCGGGCCTCTAGTATTATAATAACTACATATGGTGTCAGATGGATACTAGACTTATTAGGGTGATCACTTTGTAAGTTATATAAATCTCTAATCACTATGTTGTACACATGAAACTAAGATAATATTGTATGTCAACTATAATTTAAAAATAAATCTTTAAAAAGAAGAAAAAAAAAAAGCATGGGCTCTGGAGCAAAAAATCTAGTGTTCAACTCCTGGTGCCATCACTTAGTAGCTGGATGATCTTAAACAAATTACTAAACTTCCTTGTGCCTTTACTCGTCTATAAAATGGGATAACTTCTGGGGTTGTTGTGAGGAATAAATTAAGAACACGTAAAGGACTTACTGCACGGCACACAGCAAGTGGTCGTCAAATAGCACCCAGCTAGTGACACATGTTACTATACAAACACACGTTCAAAGCACTGTGCATGGCAGTCCAGAGAAGGAAGCATCAGCTCTGCTCAGAGGGACCCAACGTCCTCTCTGGGGAGTTTATCAGAATGGCAAGGGATGAAGAAGGGAATTTCAGGTGTGTGCAAAATTAGAAAGGTTTAAAACACCGTGGATATTTGGGAAATCTTCAGTTATGAATGCAAAGAAGAGCTTACAAGGGGAAGCAGCAGATGTGGCTGGAAGAGGTAGGCAGGGGCTCTGTAACCCTGGGTCAGACCCTGTGCTAAGTGCTTTATCCAAGTTCATTTCATCATCACCATCAAAATGCTTGGAACCCCTCCAACCTCACATAGTCATCTCCCCTACACTTGGTCTCCTCCACCCGCAAGGATGCTTTGCTTTTAGGTGGCATATATTCTCCTCCCTTAGGTCTGGATACTACCTGATCCCTCCACCTGGACTGCTCTCCCCTCAGATATCCATCTGCCCAACTCCCTCACCTCCTCAGTGAGACCCACCTCACTGACCGCCAGTTTAACCCAGCAACATGCTCTCCGTATCTCCCCATCTTGGTCTTACTCCCCCACACAAAGTACTATCTTCTAATGTATCATGTGATTTACATATTTATTGTGTTTATTGTGCTATCCCTATTAGAAGGTCCTTGAGTTTATTATACACAAAAAATAAAATTTAATGTTTCATTTCAATTGGAAGTAGAAAAAAAAAAGGAAGAAAGCAGGAAACTACACTTATAGCAAAATAAACTTACAGCCTTTTTATGAGATTGTCTTCAGGAGACAGGTCACAGGACTAACTCTAATAGATCCCCTTGGATGGGGTCCAAGATGGATCACATATCCACCGAATTCACAGAAAAGCAGTAAGGATATCATGAGCCTCCAAGACAAAAACAGCTATAGAAACAGAATTAAATTCATCCCACCGGGTATATCTCAAGTGCCAGTTCATATATAGCAGTTATCAAGATTTAATCCACACCTATCTGAGTGAAGAGTTTACTCCCAACCTATATACTACACTGTCTTTTATTATGAACAAGACATAAAACATTGAGAAAAGTTTGTTGTCACCAATAAGGTAGTTAAGTTATATTACTGTTTACCTTCGATTTCAGATTTTCTCTATACAGTAGCCTGCTCTAAGACTGTCCTCTAGGAATTGCTGAGAGATCCCTAAAACTTAATGCTAACAAAATACTGTTGAAACTCTGGTACCAAAGAGCTTGATTTGGACGCTGACAGACAAACTTCCAGACTGGCTCTGCCACACATGAGCTATGACCTGGGCAAGTTACCCCAGCTCTCTGTGCCCGTTTCCTCTCCTCAAACATGGGAATAATAATACCAACCTCACAAGCTTGTTGCACCTAATGTAATTACAGGCTGATGCCTGGAGACCACTTACACTGTCTGGGTTACAGAAAACATCCAACAAATGGCAGAAAGTGTTATTATGGTGATATCATTATGCTATTAACTTCAGAGAGTACCTGCCAGGCACCGAATAATAAGAGCTTCTTGGAAGAAGAGAACGTGTTCCAAGGCCACTGTGAGGGCAAATAATAGCTGGAGCAGGAGGAGAGTGTCAAGAGATGAAGCGAAGGGAGACGAGAGCCAGGAGCTGCTGGCTTTTTATTCTAAGTGCAAAAAGCTAGCGAGATGTTTGCAACAGGAGGGTGAGCATGGGGAAATGGGTGCGAAAAGGCAGTGGGGGCCAGGTGGGAGGCTGCTGCCGGAGTCCAAGGCAGTGATCCCAAATAAAGTTCTAGCAACACTGACGTGGACAGGAGGAGAGCAATTTGAGATGTTATTTTGGAGGCAGAATCCACTGAAGTTACTGACAGGCATGAAGGACAGGAGAGAAAAGAATCAAGGAAACTCTCAGCATTTGGCTTGGGGAACTAGATGTAAAGACTGCGGGAGAACGGGTACTGGGGAGACTGCTGTGAGCTTCACTGCTGCACTGCTCTAGCATCTAATGTTACGCTGGGTAGAGAGTCCATAATTCTTAAACCCAAACACAAAGTGTTGAAATGCTGTAAAATGTAAATTATCCAAAGAACAAGTCATTTGGAGATTCAAATTACAGAAGCGAGTGTATTGTGATTTTTGTAAAATTCTATTTAAGGCAATGAGGAAGAAAATTTAATGTTTGGTCTATTTGTGTTCTATAAACACTGTTTTAAGAAAACATAAATAACCTACTTCATTCTCTACATGGTTATTAGAATAATTCTCTACAACAAAAAGCTGATTGTATTATGTATTCATCAGCTCCCTACTGCCTACACAGCATAAAGTCCAAACTTCTATATGTACCACAGAAGGCCCTACATAATGCACTCCAACCTCATCACAGGCCCCTTCCCATGCTCCCCCCTCTGCCCTAAAGTTCTCTTAATCTGGCCTGTATTGAAAGCTCCCATTCAATTCAACTCTGATCCAGTGCCACTGCCCCTGTTGAAGCTTCTCTGGCCCCCTCAGAAGAAGTGACCACTCCCACTTTTGTTTCTCTAAGACGCCCTTATCCTAACCACGTAACAGCACCTCTGACACTGAATGGCACAGGTTTACATGTTTGTGATCCCACCATGCTGTGACATTCTTAAGAGCAAAGACTGCATCCTATGTATTTTAATAACATTGCCCAGGTAACACAGCTGACACCCTAGGGCCTTCATAAATATTGAAATGAACAACTTTCAGTTAAAGAGTGAAATGGTATTTAAGGTAACTTCGTATTTTAAAAGCATGAAAGAACTGGAAAACAGGAAATAGTGACTGGAAATTATTTTATGGTTTCTAGCATTCAGCAGGTCTGAGCCTCCTTTCACTTGTATAAAAACAAGCAGATACAATGCACAAAGGTGTATGTGCCTCTAGGTGCATGCAGAGGGACAGAAAAATATCTATCCTGATTTTAAGAATATTGCTAATTTAGAGATGATCCTTACATAATCACTTTCAAAGCAAATAATTTGGGGTTTTTTTCTATATAATTTTATGTTCTTCAAATATTGCATAAGCATGGATTAACCTGCAATATGTGAGGCTGTGGGGAATACAAACATGTGTAAAATACAGTCCTCATCTTCATGAATTTACAAATTTCTCTATGCTGTAACATACACAGTTAATTTTAAATTCTTGAAGAGAAGAAGAAAACATTCTGAGGCTGGCCTGCCTTCCTCTAAGAGATGTGATTTAAAAGATTTAAATAGGAGGCAATTATTCTCATGAGTTAATCCTCAAAATAAACTTCTGTTTACATATGGCTATTTAAACACTTTTTATAAAAGAAGAAGCATAACAATGATTAATTTGCAACAGTTTTATCAAATCTTCCATATATATAAAAGGCTAATATGCTAAGTGTCCATCCGACCAGTAGCTATGACACACACTGACCACCAGGGGGCAGATGCTCAACGCAGGAGCTGCTGAGCTGCAGTGACTTGGCAGCAGCGGTTCTCGGGTGACGCACCCCGAAACC